AGCAGATGCCCCGCCGCCCCTCCGCCCGCCGCGCCCCTCCGCCGCAGGCGGGAGGAGGAGGAATGGAGGAGGAGGAGGAGGAGGAGGAGGAGGAGGAGGAGGAATGGAGAAGGAGGAGGACGAACAGGGCGGGCGCAGGCTGGGAGGACTCCTCCTGGTGGCATGTAGGCATGAAGCCCGCTGGACTGAACGGGACAAGGAACAAGAACACTCTCTCGAGCATCTGGGTATGCGGCCGCTGGGCCGAGGGCCCGTGCTGTGAGTGTGCTTCGGAGCGGGGGCGAGTGGGGGGACCAGAGGAGCCTCGCACGGGCGGAGCAACAGAGGTAATGGGGAAACGAATATGGTGCTTCAGAACAACCGCTGACGCACTTGCGCTGCGCCAGAGCACGCATGCGGCAAGACGCATATTCCTCCTGTATTGAGCAGGGACCGACTGTCCCGGCATTCCTATAGTTTACCACGAAACGTTCTTAGAACCCAAAAATGTTCTAAGAATCAAAACAATGTTCTTAGAACATAAACCCGACGTGTTAAAACAAGACAGATTCCGCCAGACATGTTCTCAGGACATCTCGTGGGAACCACAAAAGGTTCTTAGAACACTGTTTGGTAGAGCTATAGGCGAGCCGGGACGCTTCGCCACTGCTTGACTGTAGAGGGAAAGGCCCGACTCAGCCCCAGCGCTGGCCCTGGCAGGGCAGCGCAGCAGGACGCCGAGGCGACCGGCCGGCGCGGACCGGCCGGCGCGGCCTGTGCACCGCCGCGCTCCGCACGAGGCCTCGTCCTCCTCCTCCCCCTCCACCTCTGTGGTCCTCACTCTCCTCCTCGCGGCCCACGCCCCCTTCGGGGATCCACCGAAAGGCTCCCGACCCTTGCGCTGTGTGCCGCTCACCGGAGGCACACCGCCTCGATGCAGGTCCCGTCCTCCTGGCACTCCCCCTCGTTGCACAGGCCCATAGGGGCCCCCGCGTTGACGTTGATGCACGCGATCTGCTGGCAACTGTAAAAGCAGGTCTCCAAGCACACGTCGTACGGCGACAGGGCCGGCGTCTGCGTTTCCGTGGAGTTCGTCTCGTTGACGGCCTGCTGCGGGACGCCCGGCACGCTCCTGAGGCCGCAGTCCGCCCCCGACTGCAGCTCCTTGGGGCTCCTGTCCGACTTCTGCAGGAAGGAGTTGCTGCCGCTGTTGTCGTCGCCGTAGGACACCGTCAAAGACTCCTTGACGTCCAAGCTCCAGATGTCGCCGCACGAAATGCCATCCCCAAATTTCTGTCTTTCACACACACACAGCACACCGCCTTCTTCGTCTGACTCCAGGCATACTGCCAGTACTCCCTACCAGCGCAGCAGTCATAGTCGAGGCACCACTCGCGGTGGAGGGCCGTCGTCGCCAAGCTCGCCGGGTTCGTCTTCGTCTGCAGCATCGCCACCTCCTCCTCTCCCGCGCCAGCGCCGCAGCCGCCGCCGCTCGGGCACTCCTGCGCCACCGCCGCGCACAGGAGCGCGAGGGCCACGGCGGCAGCGCGGGCGCGCATCGCGGCCGTCGAGGTCTCTCGCGGGGCTGGAGGTGGCCGCCGGGGAGGTCGGCGACTTACTTGCGCGCTGGAGCGGCCCTTGAGCCAAAATGGCTTGCGCCAAAATGGCGACGGAAAGGAAAAATTCACCATGTTGTGCCTTCTCGCTCCTGCGCTTCCAACGGTGTCTGATGGTGATGACCCAGCGATGGCCCAAGAGAGCCCCAAGAGGGGTCAGGAGGCCCTCTGGACAGCCCCAGGGAGTCCTATGGAGGCTCCGAAGAGCGCCCTCAGAGGGTCCCCAGAGGCGATGCTCCCACCTACGAGGGGGGCCCCAAGAGGGTGCCAAGACTCCCCAGAAGAGCTCCAAGAGGGCTCCAATAGTAACCCAAGAGGGTCTTCAAATCCTCCAAAATGGCGCCAAGATGGCTCCATGAGGTCTCCAAGAAGCCTCTAGGAGGCTTGCGGAGCGAAAGATCCGCGAAGACCTTCATGGATGACTCGTCGACGTCGACGTCGTAGTCGTCGTCTCTCGTTTTTCTGACATCCCATTCGTCCTCCACCATCCTCCTCCTCGTCTACCTCCTCCCCCACCTCTTCGTCCTCCTCTTTCTGCTCATCCATCCCACCTCATCCTCCTCCTCCTCCTCCTCCTTCTCCTCCTGCTTCTCCGGTTTCTCCTGCGGTTCCTCCTCCTTCCTCATACTCCTTATTCCGAGGCTATATTCGAAAGGGATGTTCCAGGGCATGCGTCTACACTTCCTTAATCAGAGCATCTCGCCTGGCGATCGCTGCTGGATAGGCTGGTGGGGATGCGCGAAGCGTCAAGAATTTCTATAGAGCTGGGTCAGCGGAGGGAGGAGGGGGGAGTGGCCCCACGTGGGTCCCAAAATGAAGGGGCCCTGGGGCACACAAATAAATACACAGAAATCACCGAGTTCCCAATATTTTCCCATATTTTCGGGTTTTCTGTCTTCCCCCCACCTGCCATATGTTCCCATATTTTCTGGGGGATCGAGGATCAATTGTGTCTGTGTGTTTTTTCCCTCCTGACAAAACCAGGGTCGGCCAGAGGGGATCAGATAGCAAAGAGAGAAACAGACAGGTCATCGCTGGCTTCAGGTGGATTTCTCGAGAGCTTCCAGGGATGCCCGAGCACCGACCCGACGAGTCGGTGGTGCAACTGCCCACTCAGAGCCACACGCAGTGAGGTAATGGCTTGGTCGCCGGACGGACACCTACGTACCTGGAGACTCGGCCGAACCAAACTCGGAGCTATTTTTTGTCCCCGATCAGATGGGCATTGGCTGACCCCCGTCAACGCCGACTGGTCGTTACGTGCGCCCTGAACTGAGAGGGTTCAGAGACAGCCGGCGCAGCCGAGGCGCCTCCGACCGCACGCCGTTGGAGAAGCTCACCGAAGGGATCTCCCGCCCGGATTCGCTGGCGACAGGCGTCACCGCCTTCTCCTGACGGGCTGGGGTGGAGGAGGGTAGAGGGAGGACTGCTAGAATACCATTTTTTACTTGAATGGCGCCCCTGCGCCGCGCCATTTTGGACTCCATCAGGCCCCGCTCCGAAGCGGTACCGTGCGTCGTTGTTTGGTCCTGAGGGCTGAAGATTGAAGCGGACGACTGGGGGGAATACCACAGAGGCGGGGCTAGCGAACCAGCTCACATTGCTGGTTCATCGGGCGCCTTCCGGCGCCGAGGGCGCCGACGTGTCGAGGAAGGCGCCCGTCGGCAGAGCCGAAACCGGCTGCGTGCAGCAGGTTTCGCATCGCCCCGTCCCTGCCCCCCGTGCCCTGGAGCGGGGAGGAGGGGGCCTCCTCCTCCTCCTCCTCCTCCTCCTCCTCCTCCTCTCCCTCCTCCTCCTCCTCCTCCTCCTCCTCCTCCTCCCCCTCTCGTCCGACTCGAGGAACGAAGATCGACGATGCCTCGGGAGGCGCCGACGCCGTACGATGCACGCAGACCGTCCAGGGGCTCTCTCCGTCCTGTGCGCGACCACGCCGTGGAAACATGCTGCCCCATGCTCGTTTACTTGGCGTTCGTGACAAAACTTGAAGAAAAGAGCAGTGGCGACTTGAGACCTTCCCCTATCCGTCCAAATGGTGTCGTGAGCGTGGAATGGCGCTCAACCCCACATTTCGCTGCGTAAATTGTCGCCCCGCCTTCAAGGAAAAGAACCAAACACAATCGGCCCGTATCGTAAGGATGCGCGATAAGGATACCGGGACCTGGGACGTCCATGTCGAAGCTTTTCGCAAGGGGCGCAGCCAACGAAAGTGGCCAAGGATGGACCGAGGAGGCAAGGATGCGAGGGCACCCTTGGGAGGAAGGCTGCCCATCCTTACTACGCGGGTGGACTGTACCACTGCTCCACAGACTTCTCCCCGGGTGCATTCTGACCAGGATTTCGAAGCGAGTTCAGCGGTGGCGACGAGGGCCTCCCCGGAAGCCCACCAAGGGGGAGAAGACAGGAAGGGAAGCGCATGGAAAGAGGACTGAACGGCGTAAGCATAATTTTTTTGCGCTCCGCGCCCCGGAGATCCCGCCCGGGGCTCCGCTCTGGGCCGCGCTGCCCTGCCTGCAGGGGTAAGCCATCACATCAGCCCGCCTGCCGCGGGTGCCAAGCCCTGAGGCCCTCGGCTGACCTGCTCTCCGCGCCGTCTCCCCCACGAAGGGGCCCCCCCCCCCTCGAGGAGGGGCACGACGACGGGCGCCTGCAGGCTACAGGAGTAGGAGTAGGAGTAGGAGTAGGAGTAGGAGTAGGAGTAGTAGTCGTAGTAGTAGTAGTAGTAGTAGCAGTAGTAGTAGTAGTAGTAGTAGTAGTAGTAGTAGTAGTAGTAGTAGTAGTAGTAGTAGTAGTAGTAGTAGTAGTAGTAGTAGTAGTAGTAGTAGTAGTAGTAGTAGTAGTAGTAGTAGTAGTAGTAGTAGTAGTAGTAGTAGTAGTAGTAGTAGTAGTAGTAGTAGTAGTAGTAGTAGTAGTAGTAGTAGTAGTAGTAGTAGTAGTAGTAGTAGTAGTAGTAGTAGTAGTAGTAGTAGCAGTAGTAGTAGTAGTAGTAGTAGTAGTAGTAGTAGTAGTAGTAGTAGTAGTAGTAGTAGTAGTAGTAGTAGTAGTCGTAGTAGTAGTAGTAGTAGTAGTCGTAGTAGTAGTAGTAGTAGTAGTAGTAGTAGTAGTAGTAGTAGTAGTAGTAGTAGTAGTAGTAGTAGTCGTAGTAGTAGTAGTAGTAGTAGTACTAGTAGTAGTAGGAGTAAACGTAGGAGTAAAAGTAGGAGTAGGAGTAGGAGTAGTAGTCGTAGTAGGAGTAGTAGTAGGAGGCAGAGGAGGAGAAGGAGGAGGCGGAGGAGGCGGAGGGGGGGGGGGGAAACACGAGGCAACGGGCGCCGACGCGCCCAGCTGCCTGCGTCGCTGGCCCAAGGTGGCCCAAGCCTTTTGCGTTCCACTCTGGACCCCCTGCGGCCCTCTGCCTCGTGATGGGAATGCTTTGGAGGCCGCCGGGGCCTCCCCAAAAAATCCTGGGAGCACCCTCGGCCGGGGCCGCGGGGGCACCTGTGGGGACGTCAGAGTTTTTTGGGCCGGCAGAAAGGCGCAAGCCACTTCCACACCTGGCCGACGGGTCCCACTGCAGGCATCCGCCTCCGACCCTCCCTCCGCGCACCTCCCCCACCTTACAGAAAGCTGCAAGGTCCTGTAAGACCCTGCGCCCAGACCAGGTCAATGCGAAGGATCCTGCAAGATCCTGCAGGATCCTGCACCCACACCCGGGCCAATGCGACCCTGGCCCTGCAGGATCCTGCAAGATCCGGCGCTCTGACCGACCCCCGTTAACATGGACCCCCGTCTCTTGAGTTTCGAATCTTGCCCCTCCTCAACGTCCTGGCCCTTGCATCTCAACCGGAGCTCCCAGGACATCGGAGCCCTGCCCACGGCAGCGCGAGTCCAAACAACACCGTATAGCTCGACGTCCAGGACTCCCTGGACACTCTGACCCCAGGCTCCCCAAGACCCCAAGGACTCCCCAAATCGACCCCTCTGAAGTCCCTGAAGGGCTCCCAGATGACCCAAAAGCCTTCCAGTAGGGCCCCAAAACGGCCCATGAGGCCCACAAGATTACCAAAAGGCCTCCAAGACTGCCGTAAGGCGGCCCCAAGACAGCCTAGCGAACGGTTTCATATTCGGCGTTTCGACATCGGGCGGAAGGGGGGGGGGACGGGAGGGTCTGACTCCGGACCTCCGCTGTGACTTCTTGCGACAGCGCGCCCTGCGGAGGAGACGCCACCTGCTCGACACTGGCGCCAGAAGCCACAAACAGCCAGGATCTACCCCATGGAGGCGGGGGGGGGGTGCGAGGGCCCGCACCGATCGGCAAACACAAATAAATATATACAAGTAGCAAGATGCCCCATGTTTTCATATATGTGATGGGTTTCCGTCTTCTCCTCACTTCCCATATTTTCTTATATCTTCTGGGGAATCGACGATTGATTGTGTCTGTGTGTTCTTTCCCCGCCTTAAAAAACGATCGACTTACTGACGGCCCCAGGACGGCCCAAGGGGCCTCCATGATGACCTAGAGGCCTCCGAGACTGCCGCAGGACGGCGGTCCCAGGACGGCCTTTGAGGGACGCCCAGGGGGCGCTGCCTCGAAGCGCCCAAGTGGCCGGGGAAGGGGCGCGCAGGACAGAGGCCGAAGGCGCCAAGACGGCCCAGACGAGGCGCCGAGAGACCCCCGCGACGGGGGGCCGCGCCCGAGAAGGAAAGGACGACGAAGAGGGGACCTGTCGCTACCCCGGAAGGGGGGTGCCCGGGGTGTCATTGCACGCCCGGCACAGGTCGTAACCCGGGCCACCGGTCGTGACCTCCCCCCCGGGGTGGCCCAATCACGACCCGGTCGCCTCCTCGGGCACCGCGGTGGCCCGGGTCAATTCGCACCCCGGGATCACTGGTCGTGACCCCCCCCCCCCCGGGTAACGACCGTTACCTGGGGGAGGGAGGGGGGGTCCGGACAGGAGGGAAACGGCAACGGCGGCCGCGGCGCGCGCCCTGCAGGGTGAATGCCGCGCCACCGGCGCATCAAGAGGGGGGGGTCGAAGCAACACCTTTGGGAATCGTTTCTGGAAGGGCTTTTTGGTTTTTTTGGGATCGCGAGCGCAAGCGGAAAACAAAAAGGCCGCGCGCCGTCCCGAGCTACCGCTAACCAACAGGAGCCCAAATTGCACACGAGAGAGAGAAGAGAAGAGAGACAACAGGAGAACAGCGGGAGGCGAGACAAGCCGGGGCGAGCCGCGCGGCGCTCACGGAGGGGGCGCCATCGGCAGCTGCAGCCGCCGGGGGTGCGCGCCGGCTTGTGGGGTTACTTGTTTCGTTCGCGAGCGTCGCGGTCCAACCGCGCGCCGTCCACGGAAGAGGCATCCGCGCCAAGCTCTACACTACGGCCTAAGAGGGGACCCGAAGCGACCGGAGCGCGCTACGCAGTCACTCAGGCCGCGGAGACGACGGAGTAGCCTGGGAAGTCCGCGCCAGGCCGAAGAAGTTCAGGATGAGGGCCTGGATGCACACCAAAACGGTGACTGAATTGGGAAGTGCCCGAATCAGATACGACAGTCGGGGCGTTGACCTAAGGAACCCTAAATAAAGAACGAGGCCCCTGCTTCCCATAAGTTAACTTCGATTTCCTATCGAACGCAAAAGGAAAACCTGAGGCAAGCTGTAAGGAACGAAGAGCCCCTCCCCAACGAAAAGGGTTCCTTCTTCAGGGCCCCGACTGTAATAGATCCAAGAAGACAGCCGTCGCGCATGTGCTCGCCAACCACAGCGAAGCGAGGCGGGCGAAGGCCGAAACGGAAGTCGCCGTCAGCTGGCAACCGTAGTGAACGTCAGAGCGCGTCGCTGCAAGCCGTCTCTCGCGTGCGGGGTGGGGCCAGCGTAGGCGGTCGCAAGAACGCTGCCCAGGGGGGCGTCCACCAGCCAGTGCGCACTCGACGACAAACTTGTGGGGTTACGCGAAGCGTCTAGAATCTGTTGCAAATCAGCGGGCGCAAAGGTACGGAAAGCGGCCAGGCGCCATGCGGGCTGAAGGCGGGGCGCGCCGACGCAGACGAGGGCACGGAGGAAGACGAGGAGGCAGGGCGAGGGCGCGTCGAAGCCGCCACACGCACACGACGACCACGAGGAGAGACACCCCGACACGACGCGGACGAGCGCGTCACATTGCACGGCACTGCCAAAGCCTCGGGACAAGAGGTGCCACGCATCTCGCCTGCCGACGCGCTGGTCGGACCGTCGCCACCCAGAATACTGTGCTGGCACGGCTGCGGGACTTGCCGCATGCAGCTGGACACACACGCGCACAGATATACACACATACGTAGACAGAGAGAGAGAGAGAGAGCGAGAGCGAGAGCGAGAGAGAGAGCGAGAGAGAGAGAGAGAGCAAAAGACTGAGACTGATAAAGCAAAATACGGAGGATGACTAGGCACACAAATCGAACGGGACAGAGGACAGGGAGAGAGAGAGAGAGAGAGAGAGCGAAAGAGAGGGAGAGAGAGGGTGACGGAGAGAAAGAACGATGACCGACAAACGAAGAGAGGCGCTTCCTCGACCTTCGCCTGCACGTAACTGTACAAGCTCGGAGCGTTGATCCTGCGGCGGGCTTCCCGAGGAAGGACACAGGGTAGGACGCCAATCCTGTTCTCGGCGGCGAGACCGGGACGGGGAAGTAAGCAGAAGCGGGCCTCCTCTGGAGGCTCCGAAGCCCCCCCAGCCTTCTGAGAAGAAGGGCACGGAAAGCTTGCCAAAAAAGGCAGGGCTTCTCAGAGGCCCCGCCGCCCTCAGAGAAGGCCGTCTCCTTCTCTCTCTCCCCCCTCGCTCGTCGCCGAATCAGTGCACGTTCTCTGAGTCGGCGTTTCGACCTTGGGCGGAAGGGGGAGGGTGGGGGGTCTGGCTCCGGGCCTATGCTTAACATGAGACCGTTTGAAGCAGCGCGTCCTGTGGGGGAGACTCCACCTGCTCGAAACCGGCGCCAAAAACAGCCAAGATCTGATCCCCGGAGGAGGGGGGCAGGGGGCGCGGGGGCCCGCGCCGATCGGCAGAACAACGAGTGAGAACACGGTCGCTTGCGACACCAGTCCCGCCATCGCTCGGACGTCCATTCCCTGTGATTTTTTGGGGGTTTCGTGCGTGGCTTTCTCGCCAAATGATCAAGGATGCTCCGCGATGGCCCTCGCCGAAGGAAAAATGCACACGTCCGAGCGATGCTAAGCAATCGCTGTCGTGCGCGGGCGGTCGGGCTTCTCAGAAGACCTGACGCGGAAGGCTCAGACAACCTCTCAGAAGGCCGGGGGACTTCCAAACCTTCGGAGAAGGCCCACCTCCTATGGCAACTCATGGGAGCCTCCCATGCCATCTGTTCGTCTCTTGCAAATCGACGCTAGATCGACGCTAAATGGACGCTAAATCGACGCAAAATCGACGCTAATCGACGCTGACCGACGCTATGCCATCGACTCTCAGACGCTAATCGACGCTAAAAAACAAAATTTGGTTCACAAGGCTCCCATGATTTGCTACCGAATCTGCCCCTGCATACTTCCCCCTGGGCTCGCCGCCGAGGCAAGGTAAGGCAGCGGTCAAAAGCCAGTCTGGACGATTCTAGCCCGCACCTGCCTCGGAATCCGAGGCGATGCCAAGAGTGCTCCAAGGCGCCTGAAGATGGTTCCAAGACGGCGCAAAAGAGCCCCAAGAGGCCTCAAAAGCGCTCCAAGAGGCCTCCCGATAGAATCCCAAGAGGTTTTTGAAGGAGTTTGGGGTTCTCGCATGCTCGGCTTTCCGACGCCCCAAGATGGCCCAAAGCTCCCAGGACCTCCCCAAGACAGCCCAAGACGCCTCCAAAAGGGCCCCAAGACGACCCGAGAGGGCTCCAAGATGGCCCAAGAAGCGCTCCGGGAAGCCCCGAGAAGCCCTCAGGAGGGAGGCCCCAAGAGGCCCCAAGAGACGCCGAAGACGCGCCACAGAGGCCTCCAAGAGGCCCAAACGATGCCCCACCAGGCCCCAAGAGGCCCCAAAGAGGCGCCGAAACCGCTGCCAAGAGGCCTCCGAGAGGCTCCGCAGGACACCCCAACACATATACAAGAGGCCTTAGACACACAACCCAGACACTGTGGCAAGATGGACCGAAGGCCGCCAGGATAACACCAACGTCTCAATATGCGCTGCTGATTCCTATCCGCCCCCGCATGATGTTCCCAGATGCGCAAAGGCAGCGCCGAGACGCGGCCACGCCACTCTGATATATCTCATTATGATAGAGAGAGGGGGCTGGCGGCAGGGGGCGAAGCCCTTACAGATAATACACCCCCTCTTCTTCTTCCTCCTCCTCTTCCTCCTCCTCCTCCTCCTCCTCCTCCTCCTCCTCCGGTGGAAGACACCGTCCTGAATATGCACAGGTGGGCGTACACGATGCTGCCCTCGCTGCTAACGAAACAAACATCGGCAAGCATCTCGTCCGTCACCAGCAACGCCTGCCCTCCCCACTTGAACACTCGCCTCTCGATTTAGATGACTGCCAACATCGCACGCCCAAACGTTCGGAATCAGAAGAATCCACCAAGAAGACCAGACCGGAGGAAATGAAACTACGCCCAGCCGTAACGGATCCCTCCGCACGCGCCCAGAAGACACAACAAGACCAAAAAACAATAGGAGCGCCTCCGCGGGAGACTTCGCAAAACGATTGCGAGACACCAGCCGCAGACACTGTCCCAGGCGGTGGGCTAGCGCGAGGCACGCGCCCGCGAGTTGCGCTCGACGCAGGAGGATGAGAGCAGGCAGGGGGACGGGGAGGAGAGGGAAAGAGGGGGACGAGGGGGAGGGGAGGGGGACAAGCTAGGTGCGCGCGCGTCATATCTGACGTCCTACCCCTCCCTCCCATCCCTTACCATGGCGCTGATTTTCTCTATCCGCGGACTAGTGGGTGGTGGTGCGCGTGCGTGCGTGCGTGCGTGTGTGCGTGATTGTGGTGGTGGTGGTGGTGGTGGTGGTGGTGGTGGTGGTGGTGGTGGTGTGGTGGTGGTGGTGGTGGTGGTGGTGGTGGTGGTGGTGTGTGGTGTGTTGGTGTGTTGGTGTGTTGGTGTGTTGGTGTGTTGGTGTGTTGGTGTGTTGGTGTGTTGGTGTGTTGGTGTGTTGGTGTGTTGGTGTGTGTGTGTGTGCGTGTGTGCGCGTGTGCTGTGGCATGGCACGGGAAATGACGCCAGCGCTGCAGCGGGAGCCGGGGGTAGGCTCGGCCCCGCTCGCCAGAGCTACTCGTTTCCAAACCCCGCATGGCTTGACAGCGCCATCAAGCATAATCCCCCCTGCTCCCTCTTTCCCCCCCCTCCTCCTCCTCGCCGACCTGTGGGTTCATGCTGGGGTGATCTCTCTAAGGTCGGTGCGTGGCTGTTCCGTCATTGGGGCCCGCGGAATCCCCTCCTCCCCTCCCCAGTCGCCCAACGACCGCCTGGGCTGGGTCAGGCTTAGGCATCCCGGTGTCGCCTTCCGCCCGGCGATCATACGGAAGAAACCGTGCCCATGGACGCACACTCGATCTGCAAGAATCCGACCAACCAACCTGCGTACTCCTCCATCCTCCTCCTCCTCCTCCTCTTCCTCCTTCTCCTCCTCCTCCACCTCCGTCCTACTCTTCCTCCTCCTCCATCCTCAGATTCCTCCTCCTCCTCCTCCGCCTCCTCCTCCTCCTTCTCAACCGTCCAATGCCTCCTCCCTCCCATTCCCTGCATGCCGCCCCGCCAAACTGTTCGCCAACGACTGGTCGGGCTCCGTTATGGCGAGGTTATGCACCCCGCCACACGCCACCTCGCGGGGCGGGGGGGGCGCGGCCTGGAGGGGGCCCCCTCGCTCCCGGGAGGGAGGAGGGAGGATAGGGGGGGGGGCACGAGGGTGAGAGGCTGAAGGTGACGGGGCGAGGAGGGAGACGAGGGGGGAGGTGGAACACGATGGGAGGGGGGGGGGGGCGAGGAGGAGGGGAGGAGGGAGGAGGGAAGGAGAGGAAGAGGGGGGGAAGGAGAGGGGGGGGGGATGGGGGAGGAGGAGCTCACGCTGCCCCTTGGCCTGCAGTGCGGACGCGGCTGCACGAAGCCCCTGGCAAGACACCCAGCCCTGAAAGCCAGAGCACCCCGACCGCAGCAGTTTCTTTGACGCCCGCGGGGAGCCACCGCGCAGTGCGCGGCGCGAATACAGCCAGGGCACCCTCACGAAGCGCTCTTTGATGCCCGTCCCCACCGTGCCTTTCCTCATCCTCCTGATTCCCGAGTGCCGACGGCGTGCAGATTCGGCGTATGTTGCCCTCCCCCCCCCTGGCCGGTCGGCTCTGGGGGTTGATCAAACTGAGAGCTCAACGACTCCTGAAACGTTCGCTCCAGGAGTCGCCAGCAGGTGGGATCAGCTATTCAAGGGAGGGAAGGTAGGGGAAAGCAGAACAGGGAGGCAGAAGGAAGAGAGAAGAAGGAACGACTATGACATCAAGGGATGACGAGAGGGGAGATTATGGCGGTGAGAGGCACGGTGACTGAAATCAACCTTCTCATGCAGCTCCTCCAGCTCCTCCTCCTCCTCCTCCTCCTCCTCGTCCTCCTCAGTCTCCGCCTCCTCATCCTCTTTCTCCTCCTCCTCGTCCTCCTCCTCCTCCTCATTATCCTCCCCATATTCCTCCTGCTCCTACTCCTACTCCTCCTCCTCCACCTCCATCCTCTACTACTACTACTACTACTACTACTACTACTACTACTACTACTACTACTACTACTACTACTACTACTACTACTACTACTACTACTACTACGACTACGACTACGACTACTACTACTACTACTACTACTACTACTACTACTGCTGCTGCTGGTACTACTACTACTACTACTACTACTACTACTACTGCTGCTGCTGCTGCTGCTGCTGCTGCTGCTGCTGCTGCTGCTGCTGGTGCT